CCCCAAAACCCCAAAACCCCAAAACCCCTTAGTAGTGATCATTGTTACAAACATTAATAAAAATTTATGGAATTATTAGAATAGTTAGAGTTTGATTAATGATAATTAAAAAGCTTCTGAAATGAGTAAAGAGAATCATATTCAAAATAATCTTGCTAAAATGCTCTACTTGTTCAATGAACTTTGTGAGCAAGAATTCATTCTTAGAGAGGAGGCATAATTAATGAAAAGTAAACTCTCTAATTTAATTTAAATCTTCCATAAATTTTGACTTAATATGCGATGAGAAATTAATTATTTCTATAGGAACGCTGTTCACTGATGAGCAGAAGATTATGCCGGCTCTCAAATCTTATGAGAAGTCTTAGAATCTCATAGACTTTAGAGACCGTATGAGAGGTTACTTAGGACTCCCCAGAAGAAGAAGTTCTATCAACAAATCTCGTAAGAAACTCATTTCTAACTTTTCACTCTTTTTGGAACAAGCTTACTAAGATATTTTTATAGATGCTAGTAATTAATCGTATAGAAAGAGCTCACACTAGATAGAGTCAAGAAAGGATTCAATGGGATCAAGTTATTTCAATATAGAACCATTTTCAAGCGTTAAATTTGCTCTAGAGCCGATTGAGTCAGGATGCGACTCATCTGAGAAAGTCGGAGATCAGTTCTCTAATACTGAGTCACAAGCTACTCTGTAATAGCAAAAAATTCTATCCCAAAATCGTCAAATTTATATTCCAAGAAAAATGACGGAATCCAGTATTAAGAGAAGCAGTGTCATTAAACCACTTTCTACCAATGAAGAGAATAGTGAGACAACTAGAGATATGAGTGTTTATCTTAATACCCAAAGTAAGCTTCTGGATTTTGATATATTATAGTAGAAGAGACCAATTAAAAATATAGTAAATAATTTATGCAGAATATCCAAAATTGAGATTAAGTATTCACCCATTATCACCTTTCTAAGAAAAAAGTGAGAAATTAGATGATAGATCTTCCAATTCTATCAATTCAAGGCAAATATGTCTTTGTAAATATTTGAGATATATTAATTAAATTAAGCTTAACTATTTTCAATCCAAAATCTATTAATACAAAAAGTCAAATGAATCACTCACTATTCTAGCTTTGTGTCATATGTATTGATTATTAAAATTTTCTCATTAATCATCATCTTTTATATTACTGTGTAAATTTTTTTTAATATTCTAAATTTCTCTGCATCATATTGATCATGGCATCTTCAAAAATACTAGGTAGATTTTCTTGCATCCACTAGCCGGATATTTTCAATCTATCTTGTATTAATTTTCTTTAGATCTCCTTCTCCATTTATTACTTTTCCTTCATTTAAATTGGTTTCCAATTTTAATCTATAGCATGGTAAGGATGATCCTAAACTCCGTAAAACTTTTGAGTGAGTGATGATCTTGGTAATTGCAGGCTACTCAAATCATTCTCAGAATGCTTAACTGACAATCTCACTGCTTTTTAAAGTATTTATTCAATTGGTTTCTCAGTCAAAGAATTATCCTCATTGATTTAGGAAGTATCGTTAGAATTAGTAATATTTAACTTTTAATCAGAACCCTAGTCAACAGAGGATTTTTTTCGAGAGCCAGAAGTCTCTTCGTTTTTACTTTCAGTATATATGCTTGAATAATTATTCTCAGTTTTGCTACTGTTATTTCCACTTTCATCTCTTAGAATATTCTGACTTAGCCTTAATTCATCATTTATGATCTATTATGCTTCATCCTAATCATTTCCACAAATTGAATCTTTACCTTCAAGGTTCTACTAATGAATCTCAGCCGGTGGCAATACTTAACTAGGCCTAAAATTCTCAATTTTTAATTGTTTCAAGATGATTTTCTGTTCATCTTAAACTATTTGTCTTGAAGCATTTTCATCCTATTTGAATAAATTTTACTATGTTTCAAATATCTCTTCATGAATCTCAATAACTTTATTTTTTGTTTTCTTTCCTTTCTATTTATAATCCCTCAAAGAACCAAGCTTATAACTTTGATCCTCTTAGTCAATAATTGTTATAGCTGATTGTTTTTGAATATTTTAATCTCTCATTATTTAAAATTTTTCTTCATTTTAAATCTCCTCTTCGATTGATGATGAAATTCCTTTTAGCTACGGTGTAATATTGTTTTATTGATTAGATTTGGAGTTATTAACTAAATTAAATGGATTTACTGGAGAAGCATAATAACTTTCTAATAGAAATTTATTTTATTCCAATCTTTAACTTTTATCTTTATTTTCAAACAGAACCCCGCTATCTAAATGCAGAATTTTTGATTCTGAGGATTATTTCTCTGCTCTCATGTCATGCAATACCTTTCTGCTCTGACTATTAAAACTTATTTATTGCATTTTGTTATCTTTATCCTCTTTTTTCTATTTTTAATCAGAGTTTTCCCATTGAAAGCCAAATAACTTTTGCTAAGTTTCTTTCATAATTAGTTAAAGTGCGTTTTACATAAGGCCTCTGAGAGCAACCAAGCCTCTTGACTTTGTATAATCATCTATATCCTGCTTTTTTAGTACAATAGTGTCTTTAAAGATCATGTTTAGAGCATGAACCTTTAGATAAACAATTTTATTAAGAACGTAATCAAGATTTTAAAGATTTAGCATGATATTGTCTACACTTTGACTGTCTTTTTCTATTACAATTATTAGTTTTTCCACGTTCTTTCTCATTTCTATAAAATATTGCTTTTAAAAAATTCATAAAATACCTCTAAATGTCATCATAGCATTATTGAGCTCTTTGAGATGATTTTCGATTAATTTGTTGATTTTTTGCAAATTTTCAGATAATGGTATGCCCTGCCTCAGTACCCTCTATCTTTCCTTCTAAAATTATGACATTCTTTTGATAAATATTTCTTAGGCAAAAGTTGCTAATGAAATAATAGATCTCCAAGAATTTTTCTTTGTACCTAATTTCTTGTACTCTATAGACTCCAAAAATTTTTTCTATTAAATCTTCCTAAGTTTTCTTGTTCTCCACCATGCGGATATCCTATTGATATGTTTATTTATTTCGAATACTTACAACGCTGCTGCCTCTCTTTTTAATTCTTCTTTTTAAATGAGTCTTCTTAGTAGTTCAAAAGCTTTTTACTCTGCTAAAGTAAATTCAGACCTGACTTGAAGTGTGTAAACGAATTGTGAAACCATAAATATTCCCCAAAAGCAAGCAATGATAATAATTATTCTTCCACTGGCAGTTACCGGATAAAAATCACCAAATCCAACTAAATATCAATTAGTTAATCTATTTTACCAGTTGTCATCGTTACTACGACAAGCCAAAAACTATTCCAAATGTAATTGTAATTTTGATAGTAATCTTGTTCATCATCAAATCTCTAGTCTTCATAATAAGCTCTATAAGATAAGGATTAATCTAATTTTTTACCTTTCAAATGATCTCACTGAAAACCCAAAGCACAAAATGCTTAATGTAAAGTTCATAAAAAGCATTAAGAATGGTTTTTCCTTGAGTAGTGATTTAATTGCAAAAGCAAGATCAGCTTCAAATCCCTCTTTTTCGCAGCTATCCTCTGAAGAAATATCAGTCCATCTTGAGCGATTTGTCGTTAATCTGATTACAAGATAAAAACGCAGTAACATCAAATTTTAAAGGATTATTGGCATTCTCTAGTGATAAGCATGATATGTTGTTTTTTAGATAAAGTCTTTTTCAAACATTGGTGGGCTGTGAAATGAATTTATGAAATTAGTCATGAGCATCAATTTAAAATCTCGACTACTAAAATATGTTTCCCCAAGCGATATTTGAAATCCTTTTAATCTTCTATAACAGTACTTCTTGTAGTAATAGTAAGAGTTAGCAATCACTATTATTACTCATAAAAATAAGAAAATTTAAAATGCGTACCAAGCAATAATGTGGTGAAGCTCACTATACTTTGAATAAATATTACTTATGCAGCTGTGCGAGAATATTACTTATGTCCTTCTATTCCATAAAAAATTTCAGACTATTATGAAAGTTTATAACTTTGAACTTGTTTATTACTTCTATTAGTTGAAGAACTATCCCAAGCATCCCTAGAATACAGCAAAATGTGTCTGTCGTCCTCAACTTCCTTTTTAGTTTAACTAATTTTTCTTACTTCGCTTAATTTCCAATATTCTGAAATAATTTCATTGGAAATTGAGGATTTACCTATTATTCATTTTTGGCAGCTTGCTGATCATTCTGTCCTCTTCTTTTTGTCTTGACATTTATCAATCCAGTGTTAAAATGCTGCATTCTGGCTAAACCTTGATTTTCATTATCATTCAAGCTAGCCTTGCTTATATCACTTGTATTTTAAGGGAATGAAGATCTTTTTCTCATAGGATTAGACTAGTTGACGTCAATCTCGTGTTGAGGGACTTCCATCTTCCTCAACTCATTTTAAGCATAAACTGTAGGTATCAAACCAATCATATTGTTAGTGCTTCGAAGTGGTACTTTTAATCTATTTTTAATATTAGCATTAATTTATTAATTTATTTGTATTAGAGATTTGCTTATTGATAATCTTTAAAGGATCGAAAATATTGAATGCATAGAAACTTTTAAGCATTAATTTAATTTTCAATATGCTTAAATGTCTCCTATAGCCAACATACGGGGTTTTGGGGTTTTGGGGTTTTGGGG